CGCTATTCACTACTCCTTTTATTTGTTTGTGTTGTTGTCTGTTACACAGTGGTAGAACGCACCCTTCTGAGCTCACAAGGTTGCGAGCTGAAGTTTTCAAAGATAAATTTTTTTAATTTTCGATATAACGTTTGATGACATACTATCACGCCAATAGCGATCAATAAAAACAATTTTTTTAATATTTAATACACACAAAGTATCAAGTACCCTTTACAAAGTAGGTTTTTTTTTCTTAATGAAAGGAACACAACAATTAAAAAATTAAACGGCGAATAAAAAATTAAATAAAGAAGGGATAGCGCTACCGGAACAAAATATGAATGCCGTCGTTGAAATAATTATAAGTATTTTACATTTGATTTTGAGTGTTGACAAAAAAAACAGGTAGGTACTTCTCAACTAAATTATGTATCAATATGAACAATATGTATGGAAGATTTTAAATGAAATAAATGATGAATGAATGGTGAAATTGTAGCTGACCTTGTGTTTGATTTCTTTTTCTTGCTGTCGTCTGTAGATTCAATTAAATTTTGACAGATAGATAATGATTTTGATATCGACGAATACTCCTGAAGAAAATTGCTGAAGCTGGTAAGTTGTTTTTTCTATTTGATGCAAACTACTTTTGAATTTTTGAAATACGGAAGCTGGTTCTTTTTTTTCCAGAAACTAATTATCCCTTTTCCTGTTTCAGGGGCCCAAATCCGGTACGAAAAAAACTAAAATGTTGTGAAATATTACAAATTTGAAATAAAAAAATTGAAAAACTTACGGTTCTATGACCTTTTTTTAAAAAAAATTATCCTCAATAGGAATTTTCAATACAATTCGATTTGAATAAAATTTTCTTAAGCGCAATTAAATAAATTGCAAATCTTTATCCGCACCAAGCTTACGAAGACGAATGCGTTTTCGAATTGTTGATAGCAAAACTAAATTTCAAGTATAGGTATAAGTATAATTTAAACCCAAACGACATCTTACGATTAACGTCATAACGTTACAATACTGGTGTTCGATATAATCGGATTGTATATAATTACTACCTCTGTTTATTCATTTTTTATTCATTTAACGATTATAGCTCCGTTGTTTTCTGCGGAAGCCTGTTTTGATATTAATACTTCTCTGAATACGTGTTGATCCCATTTTTTTAAATGAAAACTGAATTTCAGCTCATTTCAAATGGTAGGTACTCAATGGTTTGCAGAAATCGACTTAGAATGAATTTTCAACAACAGACGAATTCACACACACAATGTGCGTTATCGCTCGAAAATCCTAGCTTAGAAAGGAGAAGGTGATTAGAATAATTAGCACTAACAAATAGTGCCCTTTTTTACAGACACGTTCTGCCGCCTTTATCAATTTTAAAACTGTAATACCTTGAAGTATTTAGTAGCTTTTGAGCAAAAAATTAAATGCCAAAGAGAAGTTTTTTATACCACAATTAATTACGTTTCATCAAAGATAAAGCACTTGGAGGTTGCTTTTTGTAGGTAATAAAGTTTTAAGAAGTACGGTTTGGCTAATTGCAGCGATAAATTGAAGAATGTGTAATACGTAGTCGTTGATAGAATTATTTTTGTGAAACAATTTCGAGTTACACTTTTTCCCCAACCCCGTAAGCTATGAAAACTCATAGATTTTGTTCTTGTTGTAAAAGATATGCTTGGCCAAGGAAGTGATTTGCGTCAGCTTACTAAAATATTATATCATACTTACCTTTTATCTTTTACAGCATCCTCCAACGTTTTATACTCCCGAATCGGGTCTCTTTTTAACGACGTTTTTATATATCCCTAGGTAGGTGGTTTTGATACTGTCACGATTTCTTACAAATGATTTATAATTAGATTGTAAATATGGCAGTCATGAGCGCTTGAAATTTAACATCCACGGAATTCAGTACCTTGCAGACAGAAGCATCTGATCGTGGAAACATTTTTGGCGTAGAAATTGTTTCAACTCCATTAACTTGACGTGCTCACTGATAAATCCGAATTGAGCTGATTATTAATGGACTTACTGACGTGTAAATGCCCTTATCGGCGATATACAATAGGAACAGTAAACAAAGTTCGGCGCCCTTCTTGAGATGAAGATATTACCTACTCACCGAAGTCCTTTTTGTGCAAGTATTGGAATTTCTATCTACATGATGTTTTGCTTGTCAATATGTGGCTGTTATTTTATTTAACGTTTTAACGTCATACTCATTTAAAACTAAACACGAAAATGTATATTGCCATCCTCTATGTATACCTTAACACTTTAACTGTGGTTTGCTATTGTTTAGATATGGTAAACACGAAAGCGGATGTTTAAATTATCTACCTAGCTATGATCATGCCGTCACAAAACCAATTTGCTTGGCTGTTAAACACAACTGCCATAGTGTTTGACGTAATTCTATACGGTTCCACAGCATTGGGAAGTTTTAACGATATTTTGTGTGTCGAAAATTGACTGAAAGATCAAATGACTAAAGAAGGAAATGGTGTGAAATATAATAATACCAGCTGAAGACTGAGGCAAGCCGCAAGAACTGGGGAAACCATGGAACTTATTGAAGGTTTAATGCTGTCTGATTGATGAATGAAAGTCCCAGTACACGCAAAAGAGTTTTTGAAAGTTCAATATTCAATATTATGCCTACACGAAGATTTGGGGATGAAGAACGTGTCCGCATAATGGGTTCTCCACTTGTCTTCATCAGAGCAGAAACTAGTGATGAAGAAAGAAATTTGTCGCAGGCATTTGTACGTATTGGCGAACGATGACAGTTTTTCGCAGATTGGCACAGGCTACGAAAGGCAGGCGTTCTACTGCGATCCTTCCCACAAAACAGGAACCAACGCAGTGGGTCCATACATGCATAAGGCAAAAACCCAGTCATTGTCTGAATGCCGACCGTTTTTTTTTGGGATTGTAAGGGCGTTTTGCATCTTACAGAATACAAGACAAAAAGGACCACGATTAATGGTGAGGTTTATGGACGCTTGAAGAAGCCCCTTAAGGGAAAATGATCTAACAAAATCGACGCCTTTTTATTATTCGCACGACAATAGCAGGTTCGACACGCGGTTTCACTGAATTACAACATCCACCCTACCATGCGCAAACAAATGATTTTTTTAAATTTTGTGTTCAAGCACAAGCATGAAATTATCAACCAATTTATTATTTAGCGCCTTCTCAAAAATAAAAATTCTCTTTTATGCCCAAACCATTTCGTTTTAAAGACAAGGAGAGTAAAAATTGTAGGTACATTGTAACAACTTGAATAAGGACAAACAAACTTTAGAGCATCAATTAGAAATTTTCAGTTAAACCTTGTTACCCAGACTTTTGTTTATTTACTCGCCCTGCACTAATTTGAGACGTTTCCGAATAAACAAGAAATTTAGCAGGAAAGTACGTTTTAGGCGAACTGAAATACCGAACACAATTTACATTTCTAATTGAAGACTGAATGCGCCACTACCTAATTTTGTAGCATTCTTATTAAAATGAACGGCTTCAATACTGCGGCAGTCGCACAACATACAAATACAGTGGTGAAAAGGTGCCTAATTTGAACTCAATTTTCACTGGCCTTTCCACGCATCGCTTTCAGTCGACAGAGTGTGATATACTTGTCCGTGGCACGTATTTAAAATGCAAAATGTACGCTTCCTTAAGCTTGTTGTTACATAAATCCGTGTAGCGCTATCTGTACACTTTTATTTTGTGTGTTTTGAAAACTTCGTTGAACGCATGTAGAATACTTAATCCAATTTGTTAAACAAAAAAATTAGTTATACGAAGCACAGCTGTTAATGTAGGCGAAGGCGAATTGCCTTAATTTAAAGATGAAACAAAACTACCTCAAGTGATATCCGTATACTCGTATTAAAGTAAATAATTTAGGTATATACACGCATAATTGGAATCTGTCTAAATCTGTCAAAGTTAGTGTTTTATAAAGTTGAAGAAAGTGTGGCTTCAGAAACTGTAGAAAGTGTTGTTCCAGAAAATACTTTACAGATCTACAACAAAGCTGTAAAAGTTTTAAAAATTTTATAAACTTGAGTTGTCCTTCACACGTACCCGTACCTATAACGTTATTATTATTACCATAGTGTAAGGTGTCGTTGAATGTACTCTGCTTTGTGTAACTGACTGAATGCGCTCTTATCGCACATCACCAACCAAAGAAAACTCTCCTCCAGAGGATTTACCCCCAAACTTTTCGCCCTAGACAAAAATTCGCATCCTGCGTAGTACAACCTCACCAGAAAGTTGCTCGAAGGAATTCATATTGAACAACTCTCCCTTGGAATAACCACTATACATTCAATACTAAATCCCCCTTCAATGTGTGTGACAAAATTCGCCGTGTTGAATTCTATATTAGCAATAGCAATAGAATTTAAAAAGCAAAGCAGATTAGTAATCACGATTAAATTGGCTTTAAAATAATGTGCCATTTGCCATAGGGGTTCGTGATTTGTATTCCAAAAGTTGTCCCCCTCGAATACAAAATTGACGTGTTCGAGGATTTTTTGAAATTTCTAAATTTAATACCCTAAAAGCCCTCTGTGTACTTCTCGTTGGGCCACTCTGTATAGCAGTTATTGCAAGGGGTAGTTTTCACTTTGCCGACACTTTGAGGTCTCTAGATATCTTGTACCTTTTCCTTAAAAGTAGTATTTGGGCGAGGACAAGCTTTCCGGAAGTGAATTTCAAGGGAGCAAATTTATTTGAAGGCGAATATTCCGAAGGCGAATTTACAGCCTGTCATGCATAGCGTAGGCAAAGCAACAGGAGGGCATTTATCATGAAATGTCCGATTAAAACAAAACCCAATAGAAAACAGGCTCGGTTTCGACGTTTCTGGAACCGCAGTAGGAGAAGCATGTGCTACTTATATAGATGATCACTACAGCATGGTGTTACTGGGAAAACGAAGAGTTTTTTGTGCTAATGTTTCGAAAAGTAAGTGCAAAAGATAGTATAGTACAAATTAGCGAAAGATTTAAAGTGTTGACCCTTTAGTTTTTAATAAGTACCAATTCCAAGAGTCTACGCAAATATCTCGAATCGTCTTCGTAGGTGTCCAGTTCAATTCCGTTTTGGCCTTTGTAATATCAGCATAGACACTTCCAATGTCACTTCTTCTGGGACCCACCACTTCGTACGGAATTCGCTTGCGGACTAGTATAGAGAATGTCCTGATAACCTCTAAAATGGAATTCCTCCTTCCTGATCCTAAATTGTAGGCGACCCAATGCTGAAAACTCCCCTCCCTCAGTTTATCTAAAGCTTTGACATGGGCAGTCGCCACATCAGTAACATGTGTATAGTCTTTCATGCAAGTTCCGTCCCCGAACACAGTTACCCTTTCTTTCCGACCGGCAGCAACCTGCATTTGTAATTAGAAAGTGGTTGTTAAGTTACATCAATTCACCTGTACAATGTAAGATATCAAATTGCTTGACGCTCTAAGGTGCTTTTCTCCGATCAATCCCGACTCGTGTGCGCCAGCGGGGTTGAAACTCCGCAACACCACTACCCGCCAATTCTACAAAATTTCATAACATTCCCTGGAACGTCCTCGTTAACACACCTCATCCGAATCGCACAAACTCTTCAAAATTTCCTCTACAAAAAATTTACTCCTTCCATATGGATTTGGGCATCGTATTCCAGTCGGATGATGCTCACTGATTGGTAATTGTTGCGGTACTCCGTAAACATGGGATGAAGATGAGAAGATCAACTTTTTCACGTTGTACTCTTTCATGACCTACAATATTCTACTAACTCACTTAGAAGAACAAGGGATGGTTACCTCAAGCAGCGTAAGTGATTTAAGGAAGTTATTGGAATAATAGCACAGTGGGAGGAGGGGGGACTGGTTTGCATTCTTAAAGGAAACTGCGTGTATGACAACATCAATTTTGTGCTGAAACATGTTTCGTTATTTAAAATTGGTAATTATTCGTATATTACTTACCAGTCTGAAAATGTTTCGAAGCGCACCTTCATCAGAGATATCCGTCTTGTAAAATGTTACCACTTTTTCAGTCAATTTCTCAATTCTTCTTAACGATGCGGGTTTCTCAACCTCGTCAGCTAAGGGAGAGTTTTGTAGGTTATCTAGCGCTATGACTGAATAGCCACTTTTGAGAAGTTCAACAATTACATGCGAGGCTACGTACCCTGCCCCTCCAGTTACTAAAATTGTTTCTTTTTCCTCCATTTAATTTTAGCAACTGATTGAGGTAGGCCGATAATGTAATAGCAAGCGGTTTTTTGGTATCACGGTTTTAATAATTTCCTTTTATGTGGGGATAATATCACTTAGATAAGATTAATAAAATTTAATATTCTTGAGAAAAAATGTAATTTATGTACAATAGAGAGTATTGGTGTGCCGGTAAAAGTCTATTGCACGTGGATTAAGAAGTTCTGTCAGATCGGAAAATCGTTGGTGCGTTAAATCGTGGTCGATTTGTAGGCCAATATTAATGAAGTTTTAGAAAATGCAATCTGGGAGCAGCCGGCCCCCGTATGGCACAGTTGAGTTGAAGCTCGACTGCGGTACTAAGGATCTCTGGTACGAATTGGGGTCGGGCATGGATATTTGTAAATGTATAATGGGTTGAGTTCGTAGAGCAGTCTTGGCTGAAACCCTGCCCACTTAAACATAAAGGCTAACAATAAATAATAAACCTATAAGCTTTAACCCAATTTTACAATTGAATTGAAATTTACGTCTAGTCCTCCATCCCAGATCTAACGGAATGGTTGAGAGAACAGTTCAAACTGTAAAAAGCCTTTTAACAAAGTGTCTTCTGGAAAAACAAGATCCAAATGCAGCTAAACTAACCTATAATGTTACTGCCAAACAAAAGTTACCTTCTCCTAGTGAGCTGCTGATGGGAAGAAGATTACGGACAGCTTTATCCGTTAGTTATAAACTCCTCGCACTTCGAGGTATAAGCTTCTACAAGAAAGGCAAAAGGCGTATTATGACGGTCCTACGAAAAAGTTGGGCGAGCTCGAGCCACACTAAAACATATTCGTTCAAGAAGGTATACGTAATTGGAAACCTGGCGTTGTAATGAAGAAATCCTGAGGCATTACTCGATATTTAACCCTCGGGCGACTTACAATCCCTCGGGACGGAGGCCCTCCGGCTCTGTCGCCCTCGGCATAAATATCGCCTTAATGCCCTTGTAAATAACTATTAAGAATGGGCGTGTCATGTATTCATTTTAGTAGTGACCAGGTGTTAATGCTGAACGTCAACGAAGACGTATCCGTTTACTTCAATTAATGGTGCACTTAATTTACAGTCAAATAAGCGTCTGGTGTAGTACACCGGAATCGACATATATCAAGTAAAACACGAATGGAAAAACATGTTGAGAGGAAGTTATAATGCATGCAAATTAAATTTGTTTAATGCTTAATAAAAGTAGGCAACGAAGTAAAATAGGGCAGAAATTCTATTTGTAAGTTTCCCACAAAATTAAAATTAGAAAACCTGTTTGAAAGTCCTTTCAAAAGAACACTTTTAACTTTTATGTGATATATAAAGAATAAACTCAATTTCGAGAAGAGTATTCGTGTGTGCAAACTTCAATTTAGTTCTTTTCGTTCTGTTACAAGCCACTTAAACGAATTTCATTGGTTTTCAGTATCGAGATTCTTTTGTTTTGTATTTTTCACCAAAAATACTATTGAACTAAAATAAACAGTTTACAAAAGCTCTTTTTGTATATTTTGTACGTAAGGGGTTGCTTTTAACCCTACTAAGGCTGTACGGCGAAACCTGGATGTATTCGATTAAGTGGAATAATAGTAGGGGCGAATGTCTGGCGGAGATAGCTGAGACCACAGACGAGTGGCGAATGTTGAATTAAACGCATATTCAAGGTGGAAGCTGTATTTATCGGGACGATGGAATTTTATTTATAGTATCCGTTATATTAATATTAATATATAATAGGAAAACCTTTGTTGTATTATCTATTCGTAAAACCCTCCAGGCCCCCAATTTAAATTCACTTTTGCTTTATAATTCGAAAATTGGTCGGAAACTGCCGCATAAACTTACGGTAGTTTTCTAATGTTGCAAACACGTTATATTGTTTCCGATAAAAGCTCTTTTCCCATCTAGGTTACAATGGGATTTTCTTTATGGTACTTCAAATGAAATATGTTTCACTACAATGTCCTTTTGGAATTAGTTCTAACTGTCCCTTTATGGTATTCGGAAAATGATATTTTGCAAGAATCACTTTTATTGCCAACGCAAGCTAATGCGAAAAAAATTCAATTTTCGAAAATGTCAGATTGAAAACAAAGTATCTTGAATATAAACACTTGCACCCCATAACATTTGTCAAGTGAAAGTGTAAATGAAACCCTTTCCACCCATTCTGGTACTTCTATCGAATACTAAAGATTGCGTTACCGTAGACTGCAATCTAGAAATGCAGTCGGTGTTGGAAAATACAATTTTGCATATATGTACTTTTTATTTCGTAATTATTAGTAGTATAGTATGTGTGCATGTTACTGCGGTTAACAAAAAATCTCTCACAAAACGAATTTAATTAAAGTAAAATAAATTACGTAATTAGAGATTTAAATTGAAAACATTCTGTATTTCAATAAAATATCACCTCTAAATTCAAGAAATGATTTACAATTTATTTAAAATATTCAAAAGTCGAAACGAAATGTTTAGATAATATCGAGCCAGTTGTATAATTCATATCCACTGAAATAAAGTAAAATTCGCCGTCCCATTTTAATATGTATCGTTGATTCGATTAGCCATGCATCAATTCCCGTCGGTTTGCAATTTATACGTTTATGCATATCGAATGCAAAAGTTACGAGCCAAAAATTGTTCCATCAAGGCATTTTACAACAGTATAGAATCAGCTTTACTCTCGATATCTTATCAATTTCGGCACAAATAACATTCATCTTTTAGCAGATGCATTTTGTCTTTTATAAAGCACCCCAGTCTCAGCTTTCTGTTACTCGTACTTCTCCCACACGCAAAAGATGTTGGAACAAAGAAGTGTAAAGGATTAAGCTGAGATAAACAGAATATGATTCATCGCTTTCAAGTGACGCAATCGATTTCACTTTGCTTTGAAGCAATCTCTGGAAGGCTAGTACCTACAAGAAGTAAGGTGTACCGTGGAAACCACTTGTATTAACCCCAAAATTGGAGCTGGAAAACGAAGGTAGGGAGTCCTTAATTTGCGACTTTCTCATCGCTCCAGTGTCAGGTAGTCAGCGGATAAAGTCAGTGCCATCTCCAATTGTGTGGGGATTTACAGCAGCTGATGGTTACTTTTCACAATTCTAACTTTATTAAGGAAGATCAGTAACTGGATGGATGAAGGTATATGTCATGGCCGGATTGCCAATCCCTGGTGCCTTTTGAAAGCACGCGGGTCTGCTTGACAGGTTTGCCGCAGCCTGAACAATTATGTTTAACATTTGCGGATGTGATTGTTTGGGGTTGGGAATGTTGGGATTTGAATTTAGGTCCATAAGCTTGCTGAGATTGGCTTTTCTTGTAAGTCGTGGACATGGGGATTGATCTAAGTCCTGCTCCAGCGTTGTTGGAGTTTTCAATCGCTGCGCAAATGGAAAGAATCTTATCCAGGGTGATGTTAGCTATCGGAAAGCACTTTCCTTCGCTTCTCTTTTCACGAAGACCATGATAAGCCGGTCACGGATTCGAACATTTTGGAGACGTTGCCTAAGGGAAATACGTTACCGCATTTTGTGCAACGGGTTGTGCAAAAGCCCAAACATTCGCATCTGAAGTCCATATTCAGTACTTATCTAGGTGCTATTGGGGGAATTGCTGAGCACGGAAGTAGAATTTCCAGCGGAGCTTCCAACCCCGAAACTGTGAATTGGAGTTGATGTAGTTCTAGAGAGGTCAGCCGCTGATTTGGATCTCCTTCCTCTTGTCATTTTGACAGGGAAACAGCAACAATTTATTCACTTTACGATTGTTAATTAAATAATTCGACTGCTCCATATGGGACGGTTATAGTGACATCATTTAAAAGAAGATTACTCTTATAAAATAAACCAAAGTTAAAGCTCGTTAAAGAATTCTATTATATCAGTAGTCAGTACAACCCCATCAAAATGCAGAAAAATCTACAAATAAGGGAGTAATATTTATTTTCAGTGTTGTTTTTCGAATAACTTTTCCTTCATACAGAATAACGGCATCGTATTTCATGTTCCGTTTATGTTTTTATTCGTATATTTGCATTACAAATCGAGCTCTTTCACGAGGGATGTTCCCCAACTAGGGAGTCCAGGTAAAATCCCTTGAACTTACACAACATTGTTATCAGCGCATTATCTCACTCATTTTTAATGCAAATAATTCACATTTCTCACGCGAAGAGGGTTAATAAGAGGAAAAGGTAAACATTTTTTCGCATTTTTTACAAGTCAAGATAAAAAGGTGATAAATGGTACAAAATGCGAACAATTTGTATAAAAAGAAGGTTAACATGGTTAAGAAAGCGTTAATCATTTCCCCGACTATTGCCTAGAACTGCTTATTTTAATAATAAAACACACCCTTATTTAATGCCATCTTAACACTACACGTTGATTGCATAATCTTGATAACAGAAATGTTAAATTGAATTAAACAGCCTAAGTACTTGGTTAACTTATTCAATCCCTTTGTTACGCGAGTAGGGGAAGTGACATGAAGTAATTGTACATTACGACATGGAATGGCACATTCGATGTACTTTTCAATGCAATTTGTTTGGTATATTGTTACAGTGGAATCACGAGAACAAAAGTCAATTTGAGTGAACGTTAGTTTGGAACCACCCTTATCCGTTTAAACGTACTCTGCGGTAATCTCTATCCTTGCAAAAGGGCGTGTGGAGATGAAAGAACAAGGGCTGGAATTAATGAGTTCGTTGAAAGGCCGTGTGGATAAGGTATAAAGGAATTAGCTACCATTATAAATAATTTGCACAGAGTTAACGTTTTTGTCATTGTTTTCCGAACAAATCGAAATGATTATTTAATTGTGCTAAATACGAAACTAAAAAAGGACAATTGGGAAAAGTTCATCTGCCACTATAGAATTATTAGACCGTAGCTCTAATTTATCCTCCTCCAGTTGATAATCAATACAACGCTTTAAATTAAAAGTCTAGATTTATATGTACAGCTTTC